ATATTGACTTCAGTTCGATCATAATAATCAAGAGAAGAAGAAGAAGGAAAAAAATTCAACACACATTACAACATATTTGCTTTGACTTGCTTTAAAAAAGTCATTTTTTATTGCTCTAATGTATTCACAGATTTGCACTGATGACATTTTTCACAATTAGTTTACTTTTYGATTCAATTGCTTGATGTTTGAACTGTTTGGTGGATGTATAATGGTTTTTTAGGGGTTTTAGCCTAAATTCAGTTTCTGTTCATATCAAACATGGCTGAAGTCAGCTGACAGGTCCTACTTTAACAAAAGCTAAAAGAAAGAGAAAACACAGTTTTGCCTGTCTTTGAAGGTGGGAGACAACAAGGCAGCCCTGACTGATCCGCAGCTTTGCAGCACTAAACATAAACTATAAAACAAAAGTTTTAAAACTCTGTTATCAGACCAAAATGTACTAAAAAAACTGTTTGATTCACAGTGAGAGCTGAAGTTTGGAGCCATACAGATCATMATTCAGCTCAGGTCAAAAGTTACTCAGGTCCTTTCATTGTCTTTTTTTTTTTAAAGCAAAATCATCAACTTCAAAGATAAAATGTTTCTTTATTCCTCTACTGTTGAGTGTGAAAATAACTAGAAAACCTGTTTTTCACTAATATTTGTTGTGATAGTTAAAACTGAACCTCAACATATATTTTAAGCATTAACCCATTTCACAAAACTTTTAAAATTGTTAYTAACTGCAACGATTTKGACTTTTCACTGTTARGAAAATATCTCATGAATACTGGGACAGTTTTAAATAAACATTCAGGAAATTGCTGAGTCTTTCTGATAAAAGTCAACTCTAGCATAGATGGCCACAACACCTACCTTAGAAAACACAAAATGGCTATAATTCTGTTATAATTCTGTTAAACCTACAMATATTGTGCTAAACTTTGGTGTGGTAGTAGCTGAGAGTTCACAGCACAACGTTGCTTCAACAGCTTTATATAACTTTTGAGCAGGAACTGTTGGAGTTAATTCTTTTTACTAAAACATTTTATGATTGAATGGATTTTAAGGAAATTTACACACATGTGCATCTAGAACTATTAACTTTTGAATGAATGAATGAATGAATGAATGAATGAATGAATGAATGAATGAATGAATGAATGAATTTTATTCATGAGGACAATGTGCAATTAAAACATAAACATAAAAACATTTGATGCATTGCACCAGATTTAGCCTATGGCTAATTTACATCTGCAGTCCTCCTAATAATAAAAACAAACAGCATCCAACAAAAATAAAAACAATAAAATAACAGAAAAAATAAAACAATTAAACATTTTACAATCAACAATAAAATTACATAAACACCCCACCCCACTCTCCAAACACAACGTTCAACAAAAAACCCGCAACTTCCCCAAACCAAAAGCAAACACTAAAACTAATAAACCAGTGCAATTCAGTGATTGCAGAACAGAGTAGATTTAAGATACTTTTAAG